ATTTCAGTTTACAAGCGAGTGTCTGACCACTTGGCCACCGGGGCCATTTTTGGAATGGGATATACTTTGTAAAATTTTCGTCGTAAGCGCATTATGCTTCCAAATAAATAAATAAAATTACAATTTATCCTAAATCTAAATTTTGCAATCTGTTAATTTTCTAATCACTTGAAAGCTTTTTTTTTTCTCTTTTTTATTATTTGATAATTATTTATATTTTTTATTTATACTTACACTAGAAACCCCTAGTGCGAATCGCACTTATTTCAAATATTTTTGAAAACATTAAAACAAAATTAACATGTTGGACTTCAAAACTATAAAAAATAAGAAAAATACTTACGTTGGTTTTAGCAAATTTAAAGGGATCGTAGAGTCTGAGCTCACCTGTGAGCGACTCACTTTATGTTCCTATATCATAGATCCTACAATTTAGAAAAACTGAGTATATGTATAAATAAAAGAGCTACATACGTTATTTCAAATTTTAAGATTTTTTCCTCCGTAGAAATAAAATTTATAGGACTTTTCATAAACATCTCTGCGTAACTTAGTTATTAGAATATTCAGCACAGATTCAACATATGTAGGTTTTCTTATGTTCACCATTTTTGACATTTTAGATTTGGTCACCGGCAATGTATTGAGACCCAACTTGCTGAAATATGCAGGTATATACACATTAGTAATTCATTTAATGAAGAAAAGAAAATTAAAACTTAGATAAGGTAAGCCGTTGATTCGCAAAATATAAAAGATTACGTCCATATACCCTCAGTGCTCATTATTCAGATTCAGATTTAGTCAGTCAGTGAGAAATAATTTAAATGAACATGAGCAAAGTTCACCTCTCTTTACATTGTTGGTTTGCTCTAGCACCTGTACAATGTGCTTTAATCACATAATATAAAAATGCTCTACAAGAATAAATTCATATTGACATGAAGCTAAACATACAGATGTCATATAAATATTAAGTTCTACATAAACATAACATATTAACTAATATAATATGTTATATTATCCTTTGCAAGTATTATGTTGATTTACATCAAAACTAAGTCTTATATGGACAACACATAATCGACTGCAAGACATTGTCTAGTTCAGTTAAAATGTTGCATAAGACAATGAAAATGACTTTTCTCACAAATTATAGGAAGGCTTGTACACTTTTAGTTAACATACCTAGGAAAAATACAAACAGAATTCAAAATTTTAATTTCAAGAAATTCCATTAATTAATTCCATAGCTGTGATAACAAATCTAATTTCGGCCCATGTTTGGGTTTCTGAGCCCTGCCATTCCCAAAAATAATTATAAGTTCATGGTGTTTACATCCTGAATGTAAACATTAATTTTCATACAAATTGGCTGGTTATTTCTCTTCATACGCGCAAAAATGGCCCGCAAACTTGGCCCGTATTTTTTGTTTCATTTACTTTATATTTGCATAATGTTGGATGTGTCGATTACTTTAACTATAAACCAATTGAACCTTAATTATTATATACATATTTACACATTTTCATATACATAATTATTATTTTTTGTATTATAACATAAATTAAATGCATGTAATTAACGCTAAACTTTTTATTGTTTGCGTTATTATGGTTCATGCACGACTTTACGTTATTATGATTCATGCACGAACTCTATTTCTTTGCTGATTTTATTCATTTTGCAGAAAATGTGCAAGGAAACAATAATATTAAAAATAAATTATACATATATGTACTTATGTTATTACTTTTGCTGCGTAACACGCTTATTATACTTATCAGAAAATAACACGAAAAATGTAAAAGTTCTGCAACAAATCTGTTTACAATTTATAATATAATATACATACTTAAAATGTTAGAAGAATTCAGAATAATTTTATTTTATCATTTTCTTTTTCTATGTTACTCTTCCGAAGATGAAGAATATAAGCAAAAATACACGATGGTTGTGCCATCGGATTTGGCTTGTATAATATAATATAGATTTATAAATTCTTTTTAATAACACTTTTAAACATCTTGTACTATTGTAATTTTTTTTTCTCTATTTAATTTTTACTATTTTTTCTTAACTTAGAAATTTAATTTAGCTATATATGTAATTTTATACAAAAATAATTACATGTTATGTAATTAACATTGCAAACTCCATACGAGAAGGCGTTTGCTCTTCAGAGAAATAAATAAATAAACAAAAACATACATATGTTACATCATACACTCTACAAAAATGTCAACCAATTATAATTTGTTCTTTTTCTAAAGCTTTGCGAAAACAATCATTATCATTTTCCACAATCGCATGTTATTTTTCTTATATTCAAATATTCTTAAGCATTTTGTATTGAACTCTCTTAAATCTAAATTCCGTTTTTTTATTTCTTCAACAATTTCTTCTGCACTTCTTACTATCATATTACTTACAAACAATCTTGTCGGTCTCATTAGAAATATTAACATTATAATTATCACCTAACTTCTCTTCAATCAATTCTTTTATTTTTTCTCTCATCATCATTCTCACTTTCAATTGCAACTATACCAGTTTTTATTTAATTAAAATTTATGATATTAGGTTCACTATTTTCAAAGTTTTTTTTCGTTTGAGACACACTTTGCCTTTTTTTTCGGTTTGATGATTATAGGTGGTATATTTTTAAAAATTGTAGCAAAAGTTTTAACTGTATTTTTCTTCTCTGACACCACCATACTACCTTATTACAATTCTTAGTAACAATTCTTACATTAGTACACATCTGCCATTTACAATACACTAGATATCATACACATTAGATATCAATAATAATTCACATAAGATTTTTAATCAGCTTTTTGATTTCTTGTTCTCCTATCTCTATCTTATTTTTTAATCCTGCTAGTTTCTTAATTTAATACATATTCATCGCATAGTTTTTGCATCCTGCTAATTTTTTCAATCCATAATTCATTCTTCATTTTCCATCAAACTTGTTAGTTGTTATGAATAAATTTAATATCAAACATCATAATATAAAGCAGAGAATAGAGAAAAACAGGGCAAAAAATACTCCCGTTAGAAAACAATCATGTATTTTTGTTTACAAATAATTATTTAGCCTCATGTTTCATATATGTATAAGAATTTGAAATATCAATGATTAATCAATGAAGACATTATTTTGTCTATATATAACACCTTCATTTTAACGCATTTTTAGTGTTTAAACTATATGTTTTTCAAAAAGAAAAATATGTACTCGTATGCTCTACATAATATGTACTTTCATAAATAACAGAAAGTTTCCGATTTAAGTTTTAAATAGATTCTTTTCCATTGTATGTATTATTTATTTAATTTTCCATATACATATATAATGAAGTTATAAATATTGATTGGTGTGCAGCTGAACGAATAATTTTTTTTGAAGAAAATATCACAACATCTACTTGGTATTATAATTTGTGTAATTATTTTTAAAACTATGTATTAAAATTTCTTCCCGTCTGTTTCCTTGCAAATAAAATTGTCTGGATTTTTTTTGAACCAGAACACAAAGCGAAGGTATACTAGTTTTTGGAGTGGTCATGATAAGAAAGTTATCGCAATTATGCGGGCCTTATAAAATTTTTTCATGTTAAAATTGGCAATACTCGAACTGAACAAAATAATGTTTAACTCATTCTTTGAAAACTAAAATTGATTGTAAAATTAACGTAAATGATTTTCTTATACTCATATCGTTTAACCGGAATCATTTTTACAATCAAAATAAACTGTAGTTTTCAGATTGATTTTTTGTTGTAGTTGTATTAATTAAAAAGGCGTGACATTTAATAGGGAATTTTCGAGAATTTAGATACATATGTACTTAAAGTTCTAACTTAAATCTTAAAAATCTTTTTTTGTTACAGATCTTCAGAAACTGACTACTTAATTTTTCTGATTATTAATATCTTACATATAAATACGTACATACATATTATACGTAAATTTAAAATATTTTTGCAGTATTTAAGCTGCATATTGGCACGTCAGCTTCTGATGATTTTATATGGAATTCTCACAAAAGTTAGAACATTTAGGGACTCTACAAAATTTATATGTGACATGCGGTTTAAAAAAAAATCGTTCCATGTATTTAAATGAACACCATCAAAATTGCCACTTAGTAACCGCACCGGAATCGAATTTTCAATTCCAAGCGTGTGTTTTTATTATTGTTTTTATTATTTATGTGAAATATTATTTTCATTTGGTTTAAATTTATGTTTATAATAATAAATGTATATTAAACGTCGGTGCAATTTCAGTTTGCCGCACCAATTATGGTGTGATTTTGATATCGCACTCCGGATGATTGACCATTAAAGAATCTTTAATAAAAAAGTATATCAGTCAAATATGTGAAAAATTGAAAGTACTGCAATTAAGGTGAATTCACTAGTTCATCTCACTTCCTGAAAATAGCACACATATATTTTCAACGAAAATTTTGAAAATGTCATTTTGTATTTAAAAATTGACGTAAAATTACATTTAAAACTTTCAAATGAAGTGAAATAATATCAAAAAAAAAACAAGTAAGTTCTTTCAGACGAGGCTCTTAAAGAGTTCATGAGGGAATTAGGAGCGTTTTTAAAGCAGATCGTCTTATTGTGACGTACCAATGAATTCACCTTCAAATGAAATACTTCATTTTAACGACAATTACACTCTTTCATCAAAGACGCTGTTATTGTAAGGTCTATACTTAAATTTGTGTCCTTTGGTTCTATCTTTTAGTAACGATTTTTCAAAAATAGTGAGATATGCGAATCATCGCAATTTTTTTAATATAATATATAATTAAATAGTATTAAATCAAAATAGTATTTTGTAATACCTACCTTCACTATCACTTTGTTTATAAAATAAATATTATTAAGCTGGAAAAGTTTTTAATTTAAAATGTATAGTTTTTTTAAAAAAAGAACAAATGAATTATGTAATTTAAATACTTTTTTATTTATAGATATAAATGAAATTGGTTTTCATGAATTAAATGATGTGCCGGTATATAAATTCGATAACTTGAATAAAAGTAAAAATTTCAATTCAGGAAGCAATTTTGGACGAAATTTAAGAAATGGGAAAGGTTCAGATTCAGAAAATATAATTTATAAAGAGGAACCTCTTAACGACTTAATAATCGAAAAACTGGTTCATGGTGACAGTGAAGATCAATTCGAATGTGAAGAGTCAGACATGCCTCTACCTCCTACATATATGTTAAAGAATGAAGGATCTGAAAAATGGTTGCTTCTGAGTGACTTATGTCATATTCTTAAAATTAAATCAAAAGAGACACTTTTGAAACAAGTATTTTCAAAAAATTGTTACGCTAATAAAATTATCTTACAAATATCTAATATATTTTAGATTGTATCTACAGCCTCATCAGCAATTGGTACCAAGGAATTGTTACGAGAATTAAAAATTACTGACTTTATAGACAAAGCTGTTTGTTTACAGCTTCTTAATGCAGGTGAAAAACTTAATATTCAAGCATCAAAAGTAGTATTGATTAAATATAATGAACAAGTCAAAAGTTTACTCGGAGTTGAAAGGGGTACTTTAAATTCTTAAAAAACTATCGTGATATTAAGGGTGCTTTTACAGTTAAATGTCTCTGTAATAAAAAGGAAATTTTAGAAATATAAAGTCACTACTGTGATATGAGAACGATTTTTTATGTTATGAATAATTTAATATTTTTATGGAAACATCAGGAACATATTTTTTTAATGTGAAAAGTTTAACTTTAATTTTTCCTGCAATTTGTAATAATAAAACACTTATGTAATGTATTAAATAGTTAAGCTTATTTGGACAATTAATATTACTAATATGAACAATCTTGTAAACAACAAATAAAATCGTAAGAAGGATTTTAAATAAAAAAAAGTGAAAAATCGCAAAATCTTTTTTTTCTATAACAGTTAATTCTAAGTATGTTAGTTTAAAAAAAGTTGAACTCTAACTCTACACTTTTTTTGAACACAAATTAATTTGATTAAAAATACTTCATTTGGTCAAATTACTCGAAAATACTTATAAAACAAAATTTCAACTCGTAATTATTATGAGTTAGTCTAGCAACCCCAAAACACTTAAGCCTAATTTGATTGCAATATATTTATCCTGTGATCTATCCTTAAGCTTTCACTTATCTTTTTGGAGATGTTTGATCTTGTATTAAATTTTATATCAGACATCTATTGCTTAGATCAAGCATTAAGCATAACGCCAACAGGCGCAAACAAAAACATCATTTAGTTACAATTAAGCAAATATCAGTTATCAACCAACAGCGTCATCATTTACAGGAAAGGGAGAAAGGGGAATATGTAGGGAAAAAAAGAGAGAAGAGCAAAAGGCCAAGTAAAATAAATGACGAGCACAACTTAAAAATAGTAATAACAACAAAAAACCATAACGATTAACAAAAAAAAGAAAAAAAAACAACCACCATGCAATAAATAGATAATATAGATAATATAGAAAAGCAAAGACGAGAGAGAAAGACAAGAACAAGAAGAAACGAAAAAAATACTACAAAACTAAATTAGACCAAATTTTAGATTTAAGAGTACCCTTACTAATAGCAGGATTAAATACCAAAGAATTAGAATTAACAGATGGCAACATTCTAGTAACCGGCTTATTCCTACCATAATCAGTAAAGTGATAGCGAACATTGTACAACTCCACAGACCTAAGATTCCCTACGTTATCCCTAATAGAAACCTGCCTCAACAAAGAAGGAGCCACAATGGCCCCCTGACGAGCTGATGGATGGATGTCAGCAACAACCCTACGGGCAAATCAATCAACGTTAACCTAGTCTCATACGACGGAAGCCTAAAAGGATCAGACCAGCCCAAACCCCTCAAAGCACAACGCAAAAATTTCCTCTGAATTGATTCAATACGAGAAATATCCACAACACGAAAAGGCGCCCAAACCTGACAAGCATACTCGAGAATTGGCCTAACAAGGGACACATACAAATGCTTCGCAACATATGGATCCATAAACTCTCTAGCCCACCTCATTACGAAACCCAGTTTCGAGTTAGCTCTACCAAGGATCATATTCAAATGAGCACCAAAATCCAACCTTCGATTAAGTATAACCCCAAGATCACAAAAAGTGCTCACCCTCCCCAATACCACCCCACCATGACAATAGTCATGGCGGCCAATAGAAGACTCCCTTCTACGCGAGAAGCTCATGACCCGACACTTACCAATGTTAAGTTCCAAGCCGTTGACCCCACACCGGTCTCAAAAACTATCCAAATCGCTTTGTAACTCTAGACAAATAACCTCTGACCGAACCGTCGTCACAATCTTTAAGCCATCCGCAAAACTATAAAGCGTAGAACAAGCAACAGAACCAAAAGCATCGTTAGTCGCAACTAAAAAAAGTATGGGACCCAAATAGCACCCGACCCGGCACAGTAAACATCAGACAGAGCAGAACGGAAAGAAACCCGATAAAACCTGCAAGACAAATAGGAGTAGACCCACGTCAAGCTACAAAGAGAAAAACCTACGCCAGCCAACTTTCTCGATATAACCTGATGCGGAATAGTACTAGGTCCGTAAAAATAACATCGACTTGACCACCCCCCTCCATAACATTAATAGTATCCGAGACAAACTCAACCAAATTAGTAACAACAGACCTGCCCCTCTGAAAACTATGCTGGCCGGAGTGAATAAAAGGACTACAAAAAGAGTAGAAGTAATCAACCAAAATACTCTCAAAAAGCTTCGGAATAGCCGACATTTTAACAATAGGCCTATAATTACTAACGGAAGAACGTAAACCTTTCCTATGAACCGGAACCACGTACGACTCCTTCCAAGCCGAAGGAAAAACAGAAGACACCAACGATAGGTTAAATAAAGAAGTAAGACGACCAACAAGGTTATCAGCGCATCTATACAACACCACATCCGGAATCCCATCAGCACGAGGAGACCAGTCACCACCCAACCTCTCCATGGCCCGCAGAACAATAACATGAAGAACAAAATTATCAACAGACACACCGACAAAATTCACAAAAGTGCAAAATCCGAAGATAGTCCAGCCACAACCTCTACTGGGACAAAAACATTAGAAAAATCACAGGCAAACAAATTTTAAATGGCAAGAGAATCAACAGAAGATCTACTAGAAAATTCGAACTAGGATGGATAACAATCAGACCTATTCTTAGAATTAATAAAACCAAAAAACTTTTGCGGATCGCCTAACATGCTACGCCGAACGTCATTAAGATATGCACGATACAAATCACCACAAAGAGACCTAAAGTAATTATAGGCCTAGCAAAATCTGGGATAATCGGTCGATCTCGAAACCACAAAAGTCCGCCAAGCAGAATTCCTAACATTCCTAAGACGCCGCAACTCAGGGGTATACCAAGGAGGAGAAGACCCACGTAACCTATCCCTAACCACTTGTACAAAGGCACACAAACAGTTGGAGACGCACAAATAAAACTTACACAGACAATCGTCAACACTCGCACCAGCCAAGAAAATAGATTCAAGCTTATCCGAGCGCAACAAATCATTCAATAGCTCGAAATCAGCCCTGAGAAAATTAAAGCTAAGGCCCTGCCCCTCCTCGGACGCAACAGCAGAGCCAAACATCCCGACAGAAAACAAAATAGAGACAGGCAGATCGTAGTCATCTGGACGACAAATAAACTGGTCACAAGAGGATACAGCCAAACTACCAGGATCAGAACAAAATACAAGATCCAACTGCCTACCAAACTTATTACGAACACCACTAATCTGCCACAAGCTACACGAACCAATATCATCGAGAAATTCCGACTCAAAGTTCAACGAGACATCAGAAGCTACCTAAGATTCATCATCATTAAAGGAGACCCACTCAAGACCAGGCAAATTAAAATCACAAACCAACACGAAGCTATCCAAAGAATACATACCATCAAAAACAGACGCAACCTGAGCAGACAACTCCCTGTAAGTCACAGCCTTACGACCAGCACTCAAACTAGACGTACAATTACAAACAAGAATATACAAAAACGAGCGACCCACACCAATCTTCACACACACAGATTCAAACACATCACAAGATGGGGGAGACACAAGCCCAGACAAAAACGTCTACCTTACGGGCAAAAACGTCTATCTTACGGGCAAAAACGTCTACCTTACGGGCTTACTTTCCAGCCTATCTCTCTGAAACACCTGAAAATCAGACGTAAAAAGCTCGCTAAAAAACCCACAATTAACCCACGCCTCCGTAAAGGCCACGATATCATGTCGAACAGACTGCGAACGTAAAAACGCATCCCCGGTTTTAGTACGAAGGCTCCTCACATTCTGATAAAAAATAAACACTACATTCCTTCCACCCGGCAGCGAACTCCCAACTAGTTTTTCGAGTCAGCTCCCACCGCCGACCTCTGCCCACGAAAACCCGCTATTCTATGATCCGAGCGCCTGTACTCAAATTCCCTGACAAGACAACCCTCTGGCCGATTCCGCGGCGATAACACCCGATCAAAGTATTCCTCAGGGGTAGCAAATCTAAGCGACGTATAATGACCAGCCGCCATCTGAGTAACAGCGACCCCAGACGACCCCGATCCCAGAACACTAACAACATGATAGAACACATCGCCCGGCTCAGTGTCCGGGGCCAACCGAGACACAAAGAAAATTCTACTTTTAGGCACAGATATCAATGGACGATGCAACCTCGCCGCAGTAACTGAGCCCGAAACGCCCGAAGTGACACCAGCAGACGTAACGCCAACCCAAACCGACTCCGAATTGGAAACCGAGGACGGACAACCCCCCACAGCACCACCAGACGGAATGGAAGGAGGAGACGCCACAGAAGCCGAGGCTGCCAAAGAAGACTCTACGGTCGAGCCAACCAGCACAAGCCCACCCGAATCATGACCAAGAGAAGCCGGCGAATACAAGGACATCATCTCATTCCCAGGCGAAAGCGAAGAAGCACCAGTCCCAAGCGCCCCGGACACCGGGAGAGGCATAACAGCTCAACCCATCGCCCAGTGAAGTGAAACCAGCCAAACCGCAATCCCCATCAAGCACCGGAGAGCTCGTCGAATCAGCAACCGGAGAAAACATTCTAATCCCATCAAATTCCGCCGAAAGCGCCGAAAAGGCCCCACACAAACTATCCAAATCCCTAGAAACCTTATTTTTTTTTTTTTTTTTTTTTTTTACCGAGCGGAAGTGAGAAAAATCTCGAAAGACACTGCCAGACGAAAAGCAGTAGTGTGGAACTTTAATCCACTAAAAAACACCCTCCTCAAAATAAACTGTAAAACTAGTCGAAAACGACTAACCATTAATTTTGCTCTAACCTTTTTGATTATTTACAAGCTTTTGATCTGGCACAATAGCGTACTAAGTACTCATTGTTCCAGATAAAAAACTCTAAACTAACTCGAGAGGTCTCGTACGTTTAAGTCTCCTAACAAAGTTTGGTTTGTCAACCAATCGAGCCGCCTCGATATTGACATGATTGGATAAACGCATTTTATGATTGGTTGCTTGCTTTTTAATTTCGTCTGTGACACTTGGGATCGTGAGATCCCTGTGTATATCGGCATTACGGACATACCAAGGGGCGTTTACAATGTCCCGTGATACTCTATTTTGAAATCTTTGTATAGATTGGATATGAGTCTGCTCAGCGCAGCCCCATAACTGAATACCGTAAGCCCAGACAGGCTTAAATATTTGATTATATATCAAAACTTTGTTGTATATTGTCAATTTGGAACGCCTCCCCAAAAGCCATTCAAACTTTCTGTATTCCTACTATAGTTGAGATCTCTTTTTCTTTATGTGCTCCTTCCATCTGAGCTTCGCGTCCAACGTCATT